TTGCTCCTTCCACCTCTGCTCCTCTCAAGCATGATCCTGTTACCGCGTGCAAAACATATATACTGGAAACGCAGATGGTTCTCCTGTGGGGCCGTAGGAGTCGCACAAAATTTCTTGGGTACGGCCTTTGGTTTCCCTAGCCTCCTCAGCGGGTGGGGTCAGAGTTAAACACCTTTGATCTCACGCCGTCCTTTCCTAGATCCCTCTCAGGGTCCGCTCTTCCACGACGGTCCATGTTTTTTGAGCCCAAAGGACGCGCGAGTCGCTAGGGTCATCCGATCCCCAGCCCGCATGCAGGCGGGGCGCGCTGACAAAACCGTCGGGTGGTAGCAGCGACGACGGCACACGAATCCGCCCCGAGGTCGAGCCTTTGTTAGAAGAAACCGGGACCGCGCTCCGAAGGCGACGCGTGCTTCCAGCGCCCGCGGTGCCGGCGGGGCAGTCGTGGCGCGGCGCTGGCCCCCGTCGCTCAGCCAGGCAGCGTCAGCGTTTACTGCAGGGACTCTTAACGCTTCCTGTCAACACATATGGCAGAGAACGCCTCAGCCGTAACATTGCCGTTTTCGCAGTTACTGCTTTCAATGTGTGCGCGGAGAAGGCGGCCTGGTTTCCCCCGGAGGAGGCACGTCCTGGCCACGGAACACGCCCCCGCCCCCAGGCTCTGCGGTGCTTAACCGGGCGCGGGACGGTAATTACTCTCCGTGTCCCTCGAGTCGCCGGTTCAGTCCTTCCGCCTGGGTCCCAGAGATAATTCCGTGTTACCAAGTTTGAATAAAGAGCTGTGCGCCCTGCACATGATTGCTGACTCGCTTCCAAAGGGAGGAATTCATCCAGCCCCTCAGAATTCTTCACCGCACTGAGCTGTACGCTACTGACAAACACGTGCAATGCCTCCCCACGGTACTGAAGACATTGTTAGGGGAGGGAGCATTTTAAACTACTTCCACAACTGCTGGAATTGACACAGGGAGCTCCTTCTCCCGGAGCAGAGGTTGAAGGTTCACTCTCTGTTAGGACCAGTGTTCAGGCTCGTTCACTGCTGAACTGGAGGGAAGAGCGCTTAAGAAGCTAGGAAATGAAACGGCAGCCAGGGAAGCTGGTAATACCTCGCTGGTTATTTTATGTGAACACGAGTGTTGGGCATTGGATCAGTTCTAAAGTTAGCATATTGTACACGGAAGATTTCCTGCTCCACTTTCAACAACTGGTTTGCGTTGAGCAGACTCAAGGGCAGAGCTCTGAACTGAAAGGTCACTGTCCTGAAGCACCCCCTACCCTCCCTGAGGAGTCCGGAATTCCAGGGTTGTGTTTAGCCTCAGGTGGCTTCCACACCTCTTTACATGTGACATCATAGACTCAAATAGACCTAACTTCCCCCACCCCTACCCCCACCCTAGATAAATAGGACCTGTCCTGGCCCTAGCCTGTTTTTAAAAGTTAAACTCACATATGGGAACAACCCTATCATTTGCACTAGAAAAGTCCTATAACCAAAAGTCCCTACTCCAACTCACCTGATATTTTACCATTATGTTTAATCCCTTTCAGTCTATTTCTCTAGCACAAAGCCATAATCCAGGGGAAGGTAATATTTTAAGCCTTACTAGTTATTTATACCTAATTCATCAGATTGTTTCCCCAAAGCAGCTTCTGATGGCAGGGACTATAATGATGACATATGCTGATGCTGTGTAGGTAGGAGAGGAAAATGTGGTTTAACTTTGAAGGCAATATATGGAGAGTACAGATGTATAGACAATAAAGTGCCCCCCATGTGATACTTACACGGTAAGAGCTCCAAAACACTGGCCTTAAAAGGATGGAAGACAGGATGCATTTACCAATTAAATGATTTGACAAATATTTCTTTTCAAATCCCTTTGTAAAGTATCTTCAGCAGGAACTCTGCATCTGTGCTCATACAAAATGGTGACATAACAGCTATATGATCAGGGTATTCAGTAATCAGAAGTGATGATGCATCTTTGTTATTCATCACTGACTACTTAGTTCTAACTCATATGAACAGCACATACAGATATAGCCAAATCTTCCATTTGTTCTTTTTTTTAAACAAATGGGTGCTTTACAGATTAGTTTTCTCTGACAATCTTCCCATAGTTGAACTAAGATGGACTTCACAGTTTCAACTATGATTAAAAGGAGAAGTAAAACCTCACCTTAAACAAGGCTGGCTAACTGTGATTCTGTAATAATAAACTGAACTCCAGGACCTTAGAGAGTAAGCTAATAAATATTTGTGGATGGTATAGCTTGATCTTCCCAATTGTGATTCTCTAAATACTTTCTCTAAATAATTCTCTGTGAAAGACAGGAATTCTTTCTTTGGGATTCCCCTTCCCAATGGCTGGATTCAGGAGGGGAATTACTGTCTACTAGAGATAAGCCACATAACTGAAGAAAAGCCTCAAGGCCTTCACCATTCCAGGGAATGCACACAGCACCCATGGGGGGGGGGGGGGAGGATGTTTCTCAGCAGAGAGCCTACCCGCTGTTTTTAAGGGCCCTCCTGTCATTTCCCCGTGCCACCTGAGCAGCTGCACAGAAGCAATGTGGAGACCAAGTTAGCAGAGGGAAAGTTTAGAATGATATCCTTCTTTTCTCCCTTTCTCAACACCTAGTAAAGAACTGGTTACCTAAAACCAAACTGGTTTCCTGAAACACTATACAGTAGTGTTTGGGGAAAAGTTAATATTCTGGCTAGATTAGGGTTAGATTGCTTTTTTTGAAAAAGTCTAGAAGCGTTAGATCAGATCAAAACACATTATAACATGTATTTTTCATAGGGATTGACTTCCCTATTTTCACTTCCATCTTAGCCCCTAGATAGGAACGGCAGGAGGTTAGGGTGGAGGTGTGTGGGAAAGGGATGCCAGGGCTCAAAAGAGGCAGTACATGCAAGAATTAAAATTAAGGATTTTATAATACTTTGGGGATGAAATCATCCCTCCCACAGCATGTTTCTGCCTTTCAGACATATTTTCTTTTTTCAAATATATTTTTATTGATTTCAGAGAGGAAGGGAGAGGGAGAGAGAGATAGAAACATCAATGATGAGAGAGAATCATTGATTGGCTGCCTCCCGCATGCCCCCCACTAGGGATCAAGCCCGCAACCCAGGCATGTGCCCTTGACCGGAATCGAACCCGGGACCCTTCAGCCTGCACGCTGATGCTCTATCCACTGAGCCAAACCAGCCAGGGCCAGACATATTTTCAATAATATTTTATAAATCACAAGAAGTCAGCCTCTATTTGTGAAAAGTTTTATGAAAAGTTTTGAAGTTGTTTTTCCCCTAGTATAAGCTTGATAATCTTTTTTTTTTATCAGACATTTTGTAGCCTATCATAGTTAAATTTTTTTCAGATGTCTTATAGTTTTGTAAGTGTGGAGAAAATAAATAATGCATGGTGATTATTTGTGTGACCTCTGAAAAAAGATGGCTTGACTTCAAAAGCTGGCTACTGAGTAACTTGGGCAAGTTCCTGAGCATCTATAAACATAAACGTGCGTTTCCTCTTCTCTAGAATGGGGACTACAGTATTAACGGCTTCATAGATTATTGGGAGGACTACATGGGACAATGCTCATAAAGTGCTTAGTGCAATGCTTGGCAGACTCCAAAGTGTTAGCTATTGTTAGTAGTGCACTTTAAAATGCACTGACAGGCCTGGCTGGCATGGCTCAGTGGTTGAGCATCAACCTATGAACCAGGAGACCATGGTGCGATTCCCAGTCAGGGCATGTACAGCTCGATCCCCAGTAGGAGATGTGCAGGAGGCAACTCATCAATGATTCTCTCTCATCATTGATGTTCTATCTCTCCCTCTCCCTTCCTCTCTGAAATCAATAAAAATATTTTTTAAATGCACTGACAGCATATAGTATATCATCCACACTAGAACACTTTTGAGAGTTAATTAATAGACAATAATAGTAATTACACAGGGACAACATATGTAAAACTAGGACAACTGCAGCAAATAGTGAGCCTATAATTTCCAACTTTATTACCTTCTTCTGATCTACCTCCCATCTCAAATTTTCCCTGGTATGAATCATAATCTGTTTCAATATGTATACTTTTTCTAAATCATAACACTATTAAATCAACAAAAGAAAAGGGTAAATACTGCTGCCTACTTCCCTTCAATGGAGGCTTTCACTTAAGAATATTATCTTTG